ACAAATATTGGCATGGTGATATGTTGTAGATAAAATAACTTGTTTGGCGTTTGACAAATATTGGGATGGTGATATGTTGTAGATAAAATAACTTGTTTTCGTGCATTTCAAAAAAGGTAGCAGTGTACTGTAGATATGCCCTCATGATCACAAATGCAGACAAACAAAGCAGAGGATTAGAGAGGATGGTATGGGATAATAAATTCCCACGTGAATGGAGACCAAAAAAAATGGGTGGCTCAAATTCGAAAGCCGCCCCCGCTGTTACCCTTGTAGTTAGGACGCTGTCATAGGTAGCCTACGAGAGGAGATTAGGGAGGAGATAAATTATTTACGAACATTAGTTTTCCAAATGACCAATTCGTTCAAATTTTCGATATGTAGTGTTAAAACATGTCTCCTGAGTCGATTTTTGGCCTGTGAAATTAGAAACGACGTTTTATTAAGGCCTGGGTTTTCTAGATGTGAAATTTCAAATGGTCTTATCAGAAGAATTTATGGGAATAGTACATATGGCCTCGCCAGGAGAACATTCAGGTAGAAATGACCTGGCCTGGTATGTTATTGAAAAACAGTACGTATATCGGCGGGGATGAACATTTTCTTATATTCAAACAATTCTCTGGCCTAAGATCCACAGCAAATCAAATCTACATACCTGAGTGTGATTCTCCAGCGAGAGACACCGGTCTAAGCAGGAAAAGTTGATTGAAGGGTGATCTTTATTGGTCGCGCCAACGCCGAACTCTAACAATAGCACTAAACAGTACCCCCTTGCGTTGCCTTAGCCGTAACTTTGAGGTATATACATGCTTTGTAAATTATCCTTAGGAAGAACGATAATTTTTCGGCGTCCGCGTCTGCGGCTGCGTGCTTTTTAGTCTCGCTTATGTCTAAAGATTCGGGGTCCAGATATGTTATCGCATTCATCGTCTCCCAAAGAAAAGGAAGAAGAAGAAGAAGAAGAAGAAGAAGAAGAAGAAGAAGAAGGGGGGTGGGTTCGTGGACCAACTTATATTTGCATATGTATATATTATTGCTTTGGTAGTATATTTGTTTTCCGAGGGTAGATTTTCCCATGCCCTAACCAGAACACGGTTCCTAACCCCAAGACAGATCGTAATGCTGTCCCAGATTTCGCTGGAATTTAGCGCAAAGCCACCCTCATTACGACGGGATACTTATATTCGCGTGTCCTGCCCATCGTTCGCTTTTGGAGGCGTGTGACCGAAGCCTACCGCCAGAGGACTTTGGTAAGCTCGGGGCGGTTTGAAAAACTAGCTTCATTAAAGTATTAGACTGGATATTTCTTTTTATAGAGCCGATCCAACAAAAAGTTTCATTTCCAAGTCGAGGCTATTTCTTCGCACCAGCTCGGTGGACGTTTCAGAGTCCACGCCCAAGCATGCAAACCTTTTGATGTAACAATTGCGTTCAAAGCACGAATAGTGTGGACACGAAAAAACACCTACGGATGCGTAGTAAACCTATTTCTTGCTTCATAGGAAATAGAAAGTGTAAGCATTCACTGGAATAGTGTCTTTCTAAAGATAAAGTAAAACGGAGTAATTCACTAAACAGGAGTTTTCAATCAAAGAGGCAACGATATCGAGTAGCTTAATATAGAGAGTTATCCAGGGAATGCTGTCTCTCTTCCTGTCAGTCCACGACGACGACGACCAAAGTAATTCCATTCCCCTTAAGCTTCTCAGGCAGATTATGATGGTCTTTTACGGTTGTCCTTCGTCCACATAGAAGCCTACTCATTGTGGCCCGTCAAGTCGAAAGACCAATTCATTACCCACCAAAAAGAATCTGACTGATTTGTAAAAACACGAGCACCGTTCCAATGCTATGACCGCACATACGCAGTTATTTCTATGCCAATAACGACAGGACAGACTCCCAAGCGCATATACTCATGTCACATAAATTCCATGTTAGCGCACTATCCAGGCGCGCAGGAAACTCTTAAAACTCCTTTTTTACCAGAACCCGCCGCTGACCCGCCTGATGACCCGATGTGGATAAACGGCAATAAAACCTGCTGACTATCACACACGAGGACTAGAGATGGTGATGGCTAATGCGAACTAGACAGCTCGGCACAGGAAATTGCTTCACAATTTCTCTCACCTGGCAGTTTATGCTTTCTTGGCTGAGGAGCACAATTACAGGCCGGCGCTGGAAGAGGAAGGGGTGACACACACAGAGAGTAAGCGCGCGCGCACGTTTAAGGTAACCGGTAAAAGGATGCGCCTTTACAACCGCCTGTTTTGCCGCCCTTGGCGAACATGGACGGAATACTGTGTCCCCGCACCTTCCAAAAGGTGTCCTGTCGGCCTGACCTACATACTCTGTGAGGCCTATATAAACCGAAATGGGGGTGGTTAGAACAACCTGGAAAGGGGGGGTGGAGCCTGGGTGGCTTTAGTGGCACGCAACGGCTGAGGCCCCTGCTTTTCGCTATAAACTCAGGAAGAGAGGGGGAGGGGGTAAGGACAGACGGCAAGATGTCCATGTAGACTGAAAAAAATGGAATGCAAGCTGTAAAGACCTTGAAGCACTATAACGGCTTCTTATAAGCTAAAGGATCTCAGCCGCGGCATAGGATAATTCACATGAACTGACTCCACCAAGAAGCGGTCTTTTGAAGTTGAGCCGCCACTTTAGATGCAAATCTTATGTAAATTTTTCGTTTACCCACCTGTTGGCCCATTACGCCTATTATGAACAGCTCTTTACCCCTGTTTGTTTATTCTTACTACAACAATGAGGTCATTAGCGCAAAATCTTAGGACCCTTTTGAAGGAAGTCCACTTTTGTCTACATTTAAATGTAAGTCACAAATTTGCGAATCTTTCAAGGACAGTTCTTCATGATGCTGACAATTGCAGTATTCGGCCATTATGTATTAGATGTGACCTACCAGTTTTACGTGTTTTGTGTACCGGATTTTAATCACCATTTTTACTGAAAATTGTGGAATTATATTTCCAAAATGAAACATCTCTCCCTCTCAAATCTCCTCGTTAAACAGAGGAGCTTAGTTACGAAATCGAATTAGATTCCAGTCGTTAGTATGGGATGCTGCGTCGCCCGTTTATAAGTTTCAGAACTATTAAAAATGGAGGCATTGAATGCCTAAAATCAAATAACGGTAAGGAACTTTATAAGTCGTGTTAATGACGGTCATCTTGGCGCCCTGCGGAGCCCAAATTCTCGAGGATGAAGGAAGCAACAAGGAAAAGCTACACGACGCAGACACGTATCGTTACTCAGGAGTGATTCACGCATAATTATTTGGACATGTCATACTCCTCCTTGTTGCAGACGGGGACAACGAAAATCTAAATCCAGCAGGAACTTGGCGGTTACCTTGACTAATTACAGGAGAAACCACTAACCACGAGCATTCGTGTGACTAAAACACACTACTGCTCTGTATAAATTAGGAGCTACGATTTTATGGTTCAGCATTCTAACAAAGAAGTGCAGGTTACAAGCACATTTAAGGTCAAAATAAGTACAAAGATGTAATGCGGACAAGCCGGTTCGTGCAACTAAGTTCTTTCGTTCACACTGAGAACGACACTTAACCCTTGGAAACAGAAGTCTATTCAAGTATGAACAGCGTCTTTCTGAAATTTTAGCGATGGAAATTACGCACACGTTTTGGCGTTAGGCGTAAAGTTGCTTGACGTTAACGTTCAGCCCCCATCCCTCATCACATGCGATTGAAACCGAGCGAAACTTGAAGTAGCAGCATACGGAATGTCTAGAACGAAGACTTGTGTCCTAACTCTTTAATTTATTATCGAGTACACGACCGTCACGCTCATAGGCTCTCTAAACTAGTCAGGTAGAAAAGAAAAAGGCATGCAGAATATTTTAGTTGTATCCAAAAGGTTGGACATAAGACCTGAAAACCGTGAAAAATTGTATGGCCTATGCAGGACCCTATCACTGTCACGCCCAAACTGCGGAACGGAAAAAAATAGACTCAAAAGCGCCGATTTCCATACTGCGCTCTAATAAAGATGTCGCAACAGAAAAACTACAGGCATTACAGACCAGACATTTAGCGTAATCAGGAAGGAAAATCAGCGCCAGCCGATGACTTACGGCAGTTTCCTTCATTGCTTTTGACTGGAGGGTTTGCGCACAGTCTTTGAGGCAGTGCGTTTTGCAAACGGCTTTCGCCAGCTCGCGACCCTTTGATGTGATCTGAGAGAAACCGTGGAGACCAAAGTCCTGGGACATTTCACGAGCGTGACGTTCCAAAGACTGGTTCCTGCTCTCGATGGGGAGTTCTAAGCCCCCCGTGGGGGCGCAATAGAATCCGATTACACAGAACACCAGGAGGGAGGTTCGA